GTTTGTTACTAGGAGTCGTTTTTTTTAGCTTTTACAAATTATAATTATAAAATCTTTCTGCTATTTCTATTAATCTAATAATATACAGTGTTCAACAATAAACAAATAATTTCCTACCCTAAATAATGCTTTCCACATTCTAAAAGGCACATAATGTGTGAAAATTACCGCTTAGTGGTTCCATCTATTATTGTTAGAGTAAATTACATTAAACAATAAATGGTGATTTAAAGTAAAAGTACAAATACAATAGAACCGATCTATGTCTGTGTAGTTCGTTAAATTAAAACACTAAGCAAATAGTAAATAACTTATTCAAGTTTTATAAAATGATTAAATGAAAGACAGTTAGAAAAATATGACACCATGCAAGTAACGAAAGGAGAAATTAAACTTGATGATGCCCAAATCTTTCTGTAGTCTAGATTAATTGAATAAATGTTAAACAGAACAAATAAAAATCATGTCATATATATATTCTCTACTAAATGTTTGTTTATTTTTTAATTTTTTTATAACATATTATTTTTTAAGATATCCTCTCTTTATATTGTATTGTTTCCAGGCATGACTTCGTTGCCGAGTTGTAGATGGAAAAGACAAGGATTGCGCGGTGATACATTTTCATGTTTGGTTGCGTTATAGAAATGACAGTCAGTCCCGATGTTCTATTTAAAGCCAGACAAAACCCTTAAGGAACCGTTAGCTGCTAACTGCTTACTTCTCCTTTGGTCATTATTTCAAAATCAGAGATTGCTCTACCTGAACTCTAAGGGTCTCTGACTTGAATATTTAGCTCATGCTTCCATAAGCTGTTGTCCAGCTTATCAAAAGGAATCCACCATAGCCACGGCTGTAAATAGATATCACATAGCTCAAGAGATTAAGCTATGAGCTAAACGTTTGTAATTGAAAAAAAAAAAAACTATGCCGAGGGGTAAACATAAAACCAACCAACCAACTCTTTAGTCTCTTCAAAATTAGGGGTGTTAGCGCAAATAGCCCTCGAGTAGCTTTGAGCGAAATTCAACAAACGATAACAACAATAATCATGTCATCGTCATATATAATAAAATGGTAGCTTGGGCTTAACAATACTGCAGTTGTCTTTCTTTGGTCCTTTTTCAGACTACTTTTTAATTATACCTAGATAATTTTTGATGGTTTTACTCGACTGTTTTACATGGAATCGCTTTTATAGATATGTACTCCATAATCGTGTTTTCCAAAGTGCGTTTAAACTTTGATATATGTTCAAAATATCCTTTCTTCCCGTGTTTCACATGCGAAACAATTTAAATCTGCACTCCAACAAGATAGTGAAGAAATGACTTGTTTGTTTGTTTGTTTTTGAATTTCGCGCAAAGCTACACGAGGGCTATTTGCACTAACCGTCTCTAATTTAGCAGTGTAAGACCAGGGAGAAGGCAACTAGTCATCGCCACCCACCGCCAACTCTTGGGCTACTCTTTTACCAACGAATAGTGGGATTGACCGTCACATTGTAACGCCCCCACGGCTGAAAGGGCGAGCATGTTTGGTGTGACGGGGATTCGAACCAGCGACCCACAGATTGCGAGTCGAGCGCTCCCATATGACGTAATAGGTGAGGCTGGGATGCTGAGAAGCGTTAATTGAGCTATTATTTTGATATCTTACGTCAGTAAAACGTGCGCATGCCATGAATCTCGAGAAGAATTGCGTACTCTGTAGCCTACAACACAGCATGACATATGAACTTCAATAGCAAGAAATAGAAATATTTGCTACTCTTAATTTTGATTTTATTTAATCTTTAAACAGAACACCTTCGGAGACCCTGCGCATGTACATATACTGATGTAATATATGTTCTCTTCTATCTATATAAATACGAACGCATTATAAAAGTTTTTGTGATGAACTCAAGGTGAAAAATCACACTATAACTCGATTTTTGATACTGTATGTATAGTCTCCCAAATTATGGTCATAATTTCTTTCACACAACGAACGTTAGTTAAAATGTGTTGTGGTGTTTCCTGATGTAAATTTTCACGATAATTTTTATTCTATCTATGCTCTTCAAGTTTGACTTATAGGCATGGTCGCGTCATTTATGATTAACGAAGTGGTTTGAAGTTACCGAAAGTAAGAAATTTCTTTTTTTTTCCATAATTTCGTGCAACGCTACGATGGGCTAATCGGTGCATAGTGGTCTCTAATTTTGAGATGCAAAACTAGAAGAAAGACAACTGGTCAAGAGCATCCACTGCCAACTTTGGAGATATATTTTAATTGGACAATGGGGTTGGCAGTGAGTCTAATAACGCACACTCACCCACATAGTTCCAAAATTCGCACCGCGTTTTAGCGTCAACGGATTGTGAACCACGAATCTTTGGATTCAGAGTTAGGTAACACGTAAAAAAAATCCTTATTAATCAAACATATAACTGTTAGAAAGAAAAACCCGTAAAAAAACCTTATTAATCTAACATAACTGTTGGAAATAAAAACACGTAAAAAAACCTTATTAATCTAACACATAACAGTTAGAAAGAAAACACGTAAAAAACCTTATTAATTTAACACATAACAGTTAGAAAGAAAACACGTAAAAACCCATTACAATAACCACGGAAAACTTGGAAATGCTGTTTTTACTTAAGGGTTTAAGTAACGAACTTAACACATTTTCAAAGTAAAATATTATCATGTCCTAATTTAACTATAAAGATGATGTTATATTACAGTTTGATTTTCTGACTGCGAAGTTTCTATACTCATTGTGGGACAGATCTCTTTTCACCTAAAACAATATTATAAAACGCGTAAATTAATACACAGTTGTATTGAATGTTGAGTGTAGGAAAACTTGGAAATGCTATTTTTACAGAAGTTCATTAAACCGTTATTGTTAATGAACTTCTGTAAAACCACCATTTTCAAGTTTTCCGTGGTTATTGTTAATGAACTTCTATACACAGACAATTCCTTGAACTTTTCCGATGTTGTTTTCTCTTATAAAAAGCATAAGCCCATAAATAACGACACTTCAATACTTTCTTGCTTTTGTTCTTAAAGTATTAAGTCCCTAAATAAAGATGAAATTCAGTTAACATTGTTACTTGGGTTTATCTGTGAACGACCCCATGTGGCCAAATGGTCCTGATTCAAGGATCCACGTTTTATTAATACTAGCTGAGGGTACCCGTTAAGGAAGCAAAAATTGTACAAAGAACAATGTTAAATAGTGTTCCCCATATTCGTTCTTCTGTTAAATCCCAAATGACCTCATTAGATGCTGATTGCATACCCTGCTTCCTTGTGACTTAAGTAACTGATTAAGTACTCTTGTCATTGAATTCAAAGCCAAAAGTTTATTAAAACGTAAAAATGCGCTCTATTTCAGGGTGTTTTTATCATCTTTCTCAAGCAAAAAAAAAAAATCCTAAAACAAAACAGCTCATCTACGCAGCCGAAAGTTTCAAGCAACCGTACAAAAAATTATGGTAATCGAGCCAGCGAACTGTAGGTGATGCAGGCTAACATACACACACACACACATACAAAATCTATTATCTTTATAGATCAGAACTAAATACGAAACTAGTAATGAGCATAGCTAATCTTAAATACTGTTCTAACTTTCGTACTAACAATGATTAGAATGCATTGTTTCGTCTGTTGGGTTTGATTGTTAGTTAAACACAAAGCTACACAATGGGCTATCTGTACTCTGCCCACCACGGGTATCAAAACCCGGATTCTGGCGTTATAAGTCCGCATACATACCGCTGTGCCACGTGGGGGGGGGGGGGCGTCTGTTGGGTACCCTCGCTGTTAGCAATATTTTCTGCAAATACCTCTCTTACTAGAAACATTTTAGTGTTTTCATATTATACTTTGTAACATAGTTTTATTTTTTATTTATACGTGCGACGCTACTTATAACTATAATGCCGAAAAATATGGAAATGAATTCATGAGAAGAATTATGACACGTGCTAGACAATTCCACCACTCATGGCCTCCTGGTGGCTCAATGGTAAGTCGGAGGGATTATAACGTTAAAAATATTATAGCTCATTCATTATCTAGCCTTTTGCTTCTCTACAAACAAAAATACTACTTCACAACACGTAGCTCTGAATACTACAAAGTAGTTCCGTCCTCCGGTGGTTAATAACAACAGTCGGTCATCAGGTTGGAACCCTCTGCCATTTTATTCAAGATCATTCTCTTCAAATAATTCATTTATTTCTACCACCATATTTGTTATATTAAAACTCACCAATAAAGATCACACATATGTATATAAGCAATATACCATTAAAAATGAGCAAGTATAATTTTACACGTGATTTCTAAATACAATGGGGGGATAACCAGAGTTCCAAAACAAAGTACGAAATTAATTACTTTTTGATTTTTTAAATTATCGACTAACATAGAGAATTTTGAAAGTCAATACAAGGAATGGAAATAAATAACAAGGGCCTTGATTACAGAGGATTCATTCACAGATAAAAGGGTTTAGTTTGTCGTTAAGCGCAAAACTACACAATATGCTTTCTGTGCTCTGCCTATGGAGGGTATCGAAACGCGATTTTTTGCGTTTGCAGCCCTCAACAAACCATTAAGCTACCGGGTTGTGGTGCTTAGCTGTAAAGCGTAGAATCTATATAATTTTTTAAAAGAGGTTAAGATGTATTATTTTACATCTTCACTGCCAGTACTTGCAATATTCAAACATACAGCCAACAACAACAAAAAATGTGAAACCAATTCTGATCACATGTAGCATTCCAACTGTTACAAAGTCAAATATAATTTTTACATTTACAATTTTCAAAAATCAATCAATAAAAATTACACATAAATCTATAACTGTAAATTTGATAAAGATGACAGGTATAATAACAAAACACTTTAACTCGTGACAACAATAAAAAAATTTACTAATCAAATATTGAATTGCTCTTCAAACTTGTCTACATTCATGATATTTCCATTTTCTATGTATATAATTTAGTGAAATTAAGACTATTCTAATGATTAATTATATAAAGCACATTCGTAATATACCTCGCTCCTACCACTTCGAATGTCTTACAGTCCCATTTGGAAAAGCGTTCGCTTACGTCACTAAATGCGCTTATATAAATGACTTCAAAACACACAGTTATTGACGGTCAGTTCGAGAAAAAACAACGAGAGGTGTAATGTGATATAGAAGTAAAGGGAGTAATTGCTATTGGTTGATGTAGTTAATGTTGTAGTAATTTTTACTGATTTCTTTTTTTCTTTTTCAGTGTTCTCATTTCGCACCCGGGAAATATCTGACGTCGATAAATTAATCTGTTAATCATGAAAAGAAATCTGATCGTAATACTCTTGGCGTTTCTTTACAACGTAAGGATTATCATTATTTTAGTCTAAATGTACAACTATACTTAGGTTGTCAAATGGTTTTGATTAATTGAAATGACTAATAGCTAATTGTTTGTTTGTTTCTTATTTATAGTCTCGTACAAAAACGATCTCTCAACCGCATCACTTTCACAACAGTTCTGGTAAAATGACTATTACATCCCCTAACGACACATCGTTCTGGATATGGGCAGAAGAAGGAAAAAACTTTGGTTTTGGAGGCTTGATTATAGACAAAATCATGGATCTTTTCCAAGTTACTTATCGTGAGTACGAAACGACTGTTAGGGTTGCACCAGATGAAATTAGCGATGACTCGTCTGTTCCTGTGACTACGACAATTGAGGCTAACACCACAAGAGAATCCTCTACAGGACGACCAACGATAGCAGAATTTGAAAAAAGAGTTGAAGACGGCGTTAATATTTGGAACACAACTCTTCAAAATCCGCCCGAAATAAAAGTTGTAACGAAAAGAGCCAGTCGAGAACCTAGAGAGTTCGAAAATGAGCAGAAAAGCGAAAGTCTTTCTTCAAATAGTACTCTATGGGAGCACAATACAACCACCATTAGCTCCACTACTTTCAAAGTAAATGCAACTAAAGACGTTACTACCACCACCCCTGATTCTGCCAGTCTTGTAGTATCCCATTACGTTGTGTGGATAACTTGCACAATTATGTTGACACTGACGTCCTAAACGTTTTACTTGTTTAGTTTCAAGGTTATATTTGTTTACGTAAACTCATGGTTCTACTGTACTTATAGTTGAAGTAATTAACATATTTTTTTTGTTTATGTTCAATAAATACCTTTGTTTTTAAATCTCGTCTATTCTCCTCCAAAGAAGAGAATTAAGCTATCGCATGTAGATAAACATTAACTACTTAAGTGTAAGAGCTGCTCATAAAGAAAAACAAATAACGTAATTCTCTATTACTTAATAGTAACTTTAGTTTCTTAAAAAAAAAAAAAAAAACTGGAATGATGAGAAGCACACGTAATATTAGAGAATCTGAAAGTGTCTCGGACAACAAGTTTGTGCATAACAAATTACAAATATTCGTTTTAACAACTCTATTTTTAGAATAAAATTTCGCCAAAAATATTGAATAATACATCTACAAAGGTTTCGTAAATAAAGGTTTTTTTTTTTTCAATTTAGGAAAAAAGTAATCGGTTACATAGGAGTATATTCCCTATTCTAGTTCAAGATAAAGAATAAAATTATAGATAAAGAAACATAATTGATGTTTTAACTTAATCATAACTTACTTTTGTAATAACTTAATTTTAAAGTTTGGAAATTGATTGAACTTTCGTTTCCCATTTGTTAGTTTATTAACTACAACAGTACAAATGTGAGGAGTAACTGTCCATCCATAAAAATGTACCTACATACAGACGTACGTGTGTGGACTTACCTTTTATGTAATGAGATTTAAATGAGGAGGGAATATTTATACTCTTAATTTCTAGTACGTGGTAAGTTAACGCTTCTTGAGTTTTGATTTTAACCTTTCAAACGCAAAACTAGGCATCACGGGCAATATAATACCAAGATCATTAGAAGCAAACGGCGCTTAACATTTATATGTTACAAATGTATGTCATAATCTTTTGACTGTAGCAATACATACTAGTTTCTTTCTACTTTTATACGCTTTGAGAACAAACCGAAACTTCTTCATTACTTGTTAAAATGATCTTGATGTCTTTAATTTAAAATCGGACAAAAATTATGAAATTTTCTGTTAATAAACCACTCGACTAAGATACTCGCTGTCTCCTATATTCTGGATATGACAGGATAACTGTTAGCTAATGCAAATTACTTTACAAAGTTTGCTTAAGAAAGTACCAGATGATTAGCCTTGTGATTTGATATACAAATGCTTAGTACTGGGTTTTATGTTCACAAGTGCTTATTTTGTAATAATATAGCTCTGTAAATGATTAGGAAAGATTTAAGGCACCAATAAACCCACGCTTCTATAGGTCGTACAGACTTAAGAGGAGTGAAGAAAGTAAGGCCACTAATACTGCTCGAAAGTGAACAGAATGCTGACAAGCATCTTTCAAAGACATGTGATACTGGTTCTGTCAAAATCAAATCGTAGGAGTGTGCTAGCCGGTCCATTTGTTCATCTTCCAGGGAGTTGTTTAATAACTCGGAACAGTGTTGAGGGGGAAGGGGATCCACCAGAGGAAAGTCCTAACCAACTTCACCTTTATATAACAACACTATTGGTTTTATGACATTCATAATATAGTATCGTAACACATAAGTCAGTATGGCCGTCACTACTGCTCTTTGCCTAAACCTGTATCTTTTATCCGTGAACGTATAATTCGCGATGATTTGAGAAACAATTTTCACTTGTTTGTTTTAACTCGCGACACTGTGTTTCGCTGATAGATTTTAGGGGTAAATAGAGATGTGTATTATAACAAAAGTGGAGGAGTAAGGTAAATAGATAATATGAAAAACCAACAAAAAGGCCATTCAACCAGTAACTAAAGTTAATGACGTCATTCGTTCGCCTTTAAATTTTATTTTTTACAGTAAGCCTTACAAATTTCAACATATCTTACACTCGTACAGTTGATACTATACGGTTGGTACAGTTGGTGCCAAAGAAAATATTACGAGGACAATTGAAACCAATTTAATTATTGTTTGTTTCAAAGTAAGACGTTAAAAGGTAAAGTATGTTCTGAATGAAACACATAAGTTGTCACTTTTACCTCACCCTGTATATAAATATTATGATTATTAATCAGCCCAATTTTTTTATGAGTAGAATCAGTAAGAGTGACTTATTAGTATGATTATGACTTATCTGTTTTAATTCGCTAAATAAAATATATCTATTTGGACTAAACTTTAAAATGAAACTCCTCAAACCAACGAGAAATGATTTCGTTGTTTTATAAGGCTGAACTTCTTTTTCTTAAAGAATTGAATGTTCCATTCAGTATTACAATATTAAAGTCAAAGACTAGACCCTGTTTATTAATGCATTAACGAGTACCCTTGTAGGTCAGCGGTATGTCTGCGGACTTACAACGCTAGAAACCGGGTTTCGATACCCGTGGTAGACAGAGCATAGATAGCCCATTGTGTAGCTTTGTGCTTAACTTCAAACAAAAGCATTAACGAGTACCATTGTAGGTCAACGGTAAAGCCCGGAGTTCGATTTCCCAGGGTGGATAGTATGCAGATAGTCCATTGTGTAGCTTTGCTCTAAGAAAACAGCAGCATTAATGCGGGAATAGGAGGTGGAAGAATTAGAAAGCAATTAATTATATGTGATTTAATAATGGTAATTTTGAGGGCACCTGTACGTATACACACATTTCATATAATTCTCTGTTACCAAATATTAGTTATAAAGTAAAATAACATTGAGTGAACTGGCATATAGGAGTCTTTTTTTCTCTTCTTCTTTTTTGCGTTGCTCGCCATGGCCAGTTGGTTAGGGCGCTCGACTCGCAATCTGCAGGTTGCGGGTTCGAATCCCCGTCACA